CTTTCTTTCTTTCTTTCTTTCTTTCTTTCTTTCTTTCTTTCTTTCTAAATACATGGGTTCCCTTCTCTTTCCCTCGTTTGGATCCTTCCTTAGAATAAAGAACAAAATGGAAACAGAAAAAAGCAGTTTAGTCAAATCAACCAATACTTCAACCACATCTGATAGCCTATAATAATATTCCACAGCTACAGTCTTCCACTTCTGCAGAGAAAGGAAGGAGAACTTTTTTTTTTAAGTTTTAAATTTTTCTCCCCCTCTCTCCCCAGAGGAGAAATTTCTTGACCCTTCTATGGGGCCACGCTTGATCATTCTAATTATCTAGTGTTCAGTTTCTGTGTATTGTGATTTCTGCATTTTAACTTCTTTCAAAGAGCCCTTTCATATTTATTATTTCTCAGGACAACCCCTAGGAGTTAGATAGCATCCCTATGATTATCCTCATTTGAAGGATCAGCAAACTATATTTCTTTGTATTGGCTATGTTTGGGGATAATTCTGTACAAGAACATCTCTGCCTCACTGGAGAGGTCTAGAAGTGGGCAGAGAAAGGAAAGGGGAGCAATTATGGAGGTGGTAGGAGTGCCCATTTCTCTGCTTGTAACCCTGTCTGAGATTATACAAGCTAAGCCAAGATGCAAACTAGAAGTCTGGATTCAAGGATGCTGTGTTCTGTTCTTGATTGATCGATGGTTCTCCAAGGCTAGAGAAGTGAAATTGTTTACAGTGGTTCCTGGAGAGTTGTTTGACAATGAAATCCAGGAAGGGGAGGGATATTGAGAGCTTTGGTTAGGGAAGGAAGAAGTATAACTCAGTCCCAAAGACAGTTCAAAGCCAAGGGGATGAATGATGCCCAAAGGGAGGAGGGAAGATGTCCAGTGGAGGTTATATTTGGCCTTTTGCCCCCTCCCCCTTCTTTGCTTTCCTGTGCTATGCTGCTCTCTGTGGTACTGCTGCTGGTCCTGCTAGCTGCCCTAGGGTGGCTATGGATGCAGCTGACTGTCTCACCCCATCATTTCCCACCTCTAGTACCTGGCTTTCTCCACCTCATTCAAGCTGATCTCCCAAGCCATTTTCTAAGCCTTGCACAGAAATATGGACCACTTTATCGGTTTCATCTTGGGATACAAGGTAAGAAGAGAATCTTCTCTGTTTAGATAGTCCCCCAGGTCTCCCTGGAACCCAAGAAAATTTATTTTGAAACCGTCCTTCTTTCCTCTCCTTTAGATGTGGTGGTTCTGAACTCCAAGAAGGCAATTGAGGAGGCCTTTATCAAGAAATGGATGGATTTTTCAGGGAGACCTCAAACATTCACTAGTGAGGGAAAGGACTATTGTATTCTTCATTGTAGTAAGGGCTGGGGGAAAGGGCTAAGGTTATTAAGAGAATCCCAGTTTGGGAAAAAGTGGTAGAGCTGAGAACTAGCAGCTGTATATTTACTTCCAAGGAAGCAGGGGCTGTTGGAAGTGAAAGCTTGGACCTGGGGTTCTAGATTTCTAGATTCCAGTGTTTTTCAGTTCAGTCCTCTCCATCTCCCCAGTCCAATTGGTAAGCGAGGCTGGCAAGGACCTGTCTCTCGGGGATTACACACCACTCTGGAAGGCCCAAAGGAAGCTGGTACGTTCTGCTCTTCTTTATGGCCAGAATAACATGGAGCCTCTTGTGGAGAAGATGGTACAGAAGTTATGTAAGGTGAGAAGACTGCTACCTGCTTAAGTTGAGTTCTAGGACTTCATGCTGCCCTCCTATATCTCCATCTCTACCTATAACCGGTTAAGATGATATCTCTCCGATGTCACCCCTCTGCTTGTTGCAATAGTAACAAGGCCTCCTCTAACCTTCTTAATTCTTCTTCATCCCATAAAGAGGTTCCTTGCCCAGGCTGGCTCTCCTGTGAACATATCTGAGGAGTTTCTCACACTCACTTGTAGCATCATCTGCTTCCTCAGTTTTGGGGAAAAGGTTAGTTACTCAGCCCTGTTCCCTTCCTCAGGCACCCTCTGGTCATTTCCCCTTAATCCTATCTTCCCACTTCTGTCCCTTCTCAATCTTATTCTCCCTTCCACTTCTCTTTGCTACCACCCTGACCCCCAGGAGGGATCAGAGGGAGTCTGAGAAAAGGGATTTTCCTCCCTTTTTGACAGAGAGAGTCTTCAGTTCATGAAATTAACAACTGTGTCAAGGAATTGATGGTAGCTTGGGACTCTTGGCAAGTCCAGATTTTGGACATCCTACCCTTTCTCAGGGTAAAGTTTCTGGAATGCAGACCCCAGGGACCTGGGGGTGGGGATGGTAGGGGCTGAGAGGGATGTCTTGGGCAGAAGGATAAAACACCTAGGTCTTAGAAGGGCTGCTACCCTAGCTTCCCAGAGATGAGGAGGGAGGAAGAGAAGGAGGATACAACTACTTCCTCTCTCCAGTTTTTTCCCAACCCAGGTCTCAGGAAGCTGAGGCAGATAATAAAGAAACGGGACAAGATTGTGCAGAAGCAGTTGAGATGGCACAAGGTAAAGGAATTATGTTCTATGAGATTGCTGGTTCGTACCAATTCTTCCCTTCAGTGATTGCCAGGCAGGTTTCTATCCTCTCTTCTCCCCACAATACACATGATAAGCTGCATTTATGAAGAAATGACCCTTGTTCAGTGTTTTGTAGAGAATTGTACGTGGTCATTATGTATTTATGAAGTCCTGGGATGTGACTGGGGCATGAATTCTGGGAGAGCAGGAGACATGCTAATGTTGCCAAGAATACAGAGGCATCATGGCCCCAGGAAATTCTTCCCCTAAAATTGGAAGGAGCTAGAGGAGCTTGGTTTTGGGGAATAAAGAAGGGAACATGGGTGGAACATGGGATAACGTTCATGCTCTAGATCTGCTATAGACCACATGCCCTTGGGAAGTTACCACCTTTCTGGACTATATACACTTTTCTCATCTGTAGGAGATTAGGTGATTGGTCCCTTTCAACCTTAAATAATACTATGATCCTCCCACAAACAAAATTACTGGTACCACAGAAAGCCAAGGATAAGGCTCCCAACATGGCCATTTTAGGGTAGGGGTCCTAGAATAGTATCCCTGGGCTCTGTAATTCAACCTTTATGTAACACTCTTTAAGGTATATATTTTTATGTACCTTTAATATCATAGAGCAAGAGCTAGAAAGGACTTTAAAAGTCAGTTATTTCAATCCTCTCACTTTTACAGTTGAGGAAACTGAGGCCTTTGGAAGTTAAATAGCTTACCCAAAGTCACACAGGTCATTTCTGAATTGGGATTTGAACCCAGGTAGACGTTTAGAGCCAATTCTTTTTCCATTGTACCACACTGTCTCTTCTCTAAACTGCTAATAAACTATAGTGAAAAGCCTCTTCTGTACCTGGGTGAGTGAAGAAAAATGTGTGATGGGGGGCTGAGGAAGTAGTGAGACTTTTGGTGATGACAGCTGAATGGCTGAGCAGAGGAGTTGTTCCTTCACTGTCATGAAGCTAGTTAGCTGAAGAGCTGGGACTCAACTCCTTGAAAAGAGAGAATTTAAGAACCATTAGACTCCCAGATAACCCAGGTAAAACAAAACCTGCTGTGTAGAGAGTGGTGTTTCGCATTGTATCCTAGTCCTCCACTTTCATTGGGGGAGTTTTTGCTCAACACCTTCACCCTCAGATCCTCCCCAAAGTGACTTTCTCTTTCTGCCTTCCCACAGGAGACAAGGGTAGAAGGACAGACTCGGGATTTGACTGATTACATGTTACAAAAACTAAGGGAGCAAGGAGAGGGGCCAGGTCAGCTTTCTGAGGGACACGTGCAAATGGCCTTGGTGGACCTCTTCATTGGTGGCACAGAGACCATTGCATCCACCCTCACCTGGGCCGTGGCTTTCCTGCTTCACCACCCGGAGGTGTGGCCCCAGAAGACTGGCCTGTCAAGGGCGAGGGAGGGGGGTGGAAGACACCAACTGGGGAGTCCCTGGGATTATAGCTAGACTCCAAAGATGGGAGGCCTTGGGGAAGATGTAGGTGAGGAGTGAGAAGAACTCAAGAGCTCCCCTCCCTCCCTCAGATACAGAGGCGGCTACAAGAAGAATTGGATCAAGAGCTGGGGCCAGGCTTTTCAGGAAACTCTCCCAATTATCGAGACAGAGCTCGGTTCCCGCTGCTCAATGCTACTATCACTGAGGTGCTCCGGCTGAGACCTGCAGCTCCTTTGGCCATTCCACACTACACCAAACAACCCACCAGGTCATTAATTCCCTCTGTCGATGCTGGGCTTCACAGGGAGGGGGGAGAAGGGGGGAGGAGGGGTGTGTGAATGTATCAGAGGTGCCCCTATCTTTAACTCCTTTGTTCTTCCTCAGCTTATGTGGCTTTGACATCCCTAAGAACACCATTATTATCCCCAACATCTATGGTGCTCACCATGATGACAGTGTCTGGGCACAGCCTTATGACTTCCGGCCTGGTACAGGGACCCAAGGAAGGGAGTGGGGCTGAATGGGCAGAGAGCTGGGATCTGAATGAGGGGTGAGGGGTGGGGGCAGTGCTAGATCTTAAGAGGAAGAGGAGAGTCAGTACGGGTCCTTCAGTGGAGCTGTCTTCAGAGGGTGGGGTGAGGAATAGGACGGGGTCCACAAGATCAGTTACTCAGGCCCTAGCAGCTGCAGAACAGAGGAGCCAGAGGCTTGATGCAGAACGAGGTCCACCTTCACCTCTCAGTGACCTTTCTCCTCCTAGATCGTTTCTTGGAGCCAGAAGCAAGCCCAGTAGGGATCCCGTTCAGCTGTGGGGCCAGGGTGTGCCTGGGGGAGCACCTGGCTCGCTTAGAGGTCTTCGTGACCCTGGCCCAGCTGCTCCAGGCTTTCACATTGCAGCCTGAGGGCAGCCACGTCCTGCCTTCTCTGAAGCCCATCTTTGGGAGCAATACAAAGGCCCTAGGGTTTAAGGTGCGACTGCTGCCCCGTGAGGCTGCAGCTGGAGTGACAACTTCTGCAACCTCTGGCTCTCCACTATAGAGTGCACCAATGAAATGCCTAAATGCAGGCCTTGAACCGCTGTTTCTCCTTTATTGACTTTGTACACAGCTCTCCCCCCTCACCCCCTGCTCCCCATAAACAAGGTTCTTTGCAATTGACTGGAATATTTTTTTTTCTGGGATCTAGGAGCAACTTGTTTTGTTTTGAGGGCAGGGAAGGGGAATGTTAAAAGTGTATCTAAGAATGTATTTGCTATTGAGGATTTTTATAAATCCAAGTGCCAACCTTTATCTCTGAACCAAAGAGCCGGTATTGCCTGCTAGAGCACACAGGTAGCTATATCGGTAAACTGAGGCCTTTTTCACCTTAACGTGAAAATACAGCCCCCACCTCCCCACCTCCACCCCTCTACATCAGCATTCATATACAGAATATAAAGGGGAAAGCTGTAATTCCTTAAAAACTGAGGTAAAGATGGCTCTTTCCTCTCCTCCCTTCTCCCTACTGGAAGTGACCCTTGACTTAAGTTACTCAGAGGCATGGAAAATTCCTTAGGGAACTTCAATGAAAGGGGAAAACCCTTATCTACTCAATTTCATTCTTCTCTCTTAAATCCCTAAACTCTCAGGAAGATCTCTCCTGGATTCCAAAATTGAGACAAGGCTCAGTTCAGCCCAAGTTTTGTATAACCCCAGCTCTTGTATGTAACAGATTTCACATCATAAACTGAATGGACTGACCTTCTTCCCCATCTCCACACAACACCTTCCACCCTTGCATTCAGCTAATCATTGCCTATGAATTAAAAACAAACAAACAAGTTTGCATCATCTGAGATAGGACCTTTTAATATTAAAAGGGGATACTTGTCAGCCATCCTAAGTGGAGTTTTGAGCCGTCTCCCCAGCCTCAATAGCTGAGCTGATACAGCAGGCCTCTTTGTACTGCCTGGTTAGCCAGTGGGAAGCCATCTCTGAATTTCCACCTCCTTGAGACTCCTGGGGGATACCCTCCACCCCTTCTGTACTAGCTCTCTGGAAAGCTCTTTCCCCTTCCCTTCCCTCACCCACCTGCCAATTTGAGATTACCTTGAGGCCTCAAGACATCATCTCCACCAGACCTTACACCTCTGATGACTACAAAAAATATCCTTCTATAATCACTTAGATTTGAAAGTTTTATGGAAGTGGCCTGTTTCTTTGTCTTAGGGTATGACAGTTTTTTTTTTTAAATCACAAATCACTCAGGGGCAACTGTTACTAAATGCAGAAAGTAATGTGAATACAAGGATCACATCAATCCCCCTCTTCAGTTATTTTCTACAAATCCAAAGTATAACTCTGGCTCTTTGGGGAAAAGGAGGAGGGCATGAAAATAAGGGCCCTGGCTCTTCTCTGAAATAAGCCGGTTAGGGGCAGCAGCTGGACAGTCTGGGAGGCTCCTGGGGCAGGAAGCCTTCCTTTTTATATCACAGGATCAGAGGGCAGGAGATGGGGAAATCAAGCCCTCTGGGAAGATGGGTTATAACTTCGTGGCCTCAGCTTCATCTCAGTGAAGGGGATGGAGAACTCAAAGCCCTTCCAGGAATGCCAGCTCACACCCTAGAAGAGGGGAGATGGAAATCACAACACGATCATCAGGTCTCCCTATTTCACCCTGATCCTGACTCCTGATTAGCTCAGTGGGCTCAAGGTGTCTCTTGTGCTCAAAGGAACGAGAGTCCATGGATCTCTGACAATTATTCACAAGACCCCAGACTCAATGCTGTTCCCCCTTCACAAGAGAACTTGGCTTATCATGACTCAATGACACTTCCCTACCTTCCCTACCTTCAGTTCCATCCCAGGCTTGACAACTCCCCTCCCCAAAGACCCTGTCTCACATCCTGTAAGACAGGCAGTCTCCTCATACTACCCCATCTCACCTGATGATCAATGATGCTTCCATAGAGTCCATTGAGGTTGGCATAGTGGCAGTTGCGATACCACCAGCCACCCCGATAGGAGACAGCACAAGGAATATGCAAATTGTTGGGGTCTCGGTCCCTTGTGGAGAAGATACTGCCACTGTGATAACTCATGGAGTCTCCTGAAGGGTAAAGGGGTGGGACAAACAAACAGAGTATAGGGGGAGGGTGAAGAGTCTACTTCTTTGTAAACTTTGTGTGATGATGACTGGACCCTCCCTTGCCCGGCCCCACCCTGACTGGGTGTCTTACCTGCAGTACCATGGTAGCCCTCTAGGTGGAGACGGTAGTACTTTGCAGCTGAGTCCACGGTAAAGAAGTCATATTCAGCAAAGGCAGACTCATTGCTAGTACGGAGATCCACTCTCATAGAGTAATCACCTGCTTGAGTCAGGCTATGTAGGGCCTCATTTCCTGGGGTGGGAAAGGACATCCAGTCTCTTAGCCCCAAGATTCCATACCTGGCTCTGTCTCCAACTTGTCTCTCCTTATTCCCCTCCTTTTTTTGTTTTTTTTTTTTTTACAATTAATTTTTATTTATTTATTTTTTCTCAATTACATGTAAACAAAATTTTTATACTCATCTTTTAAAATTTTGAGTTCCAAATTTTTTCTCTTCCTTCTTCCCTCCCCCCTCCTTGAGAAGACAATTTGCCATAGATTATATGTGTGCAGTCATATAAAACATTTCCATATTAGCCATGTTGCAAAGGAAAACACAGACTGAAAAAAACCCCAAGAACAATAAAGAGAGCATAGTCATCCCTTTTCAGAGACCAAGGCTTCCATTCTCCCAGCCTTAAACCTTAGCTCGTCCCCTCAGACCAGAACCAAGGGTAATGACACTGACCCAGCCAGAACTCCCCAGAGATGTTCCCAAATCCATGAGCGTATTCTGCCCAGTCCCTCCAGAAGTCTGTGCGTCCATCCATCCTGCGCTGGAACACCTAATGTAATGGGATAACAATGAGAATAGCTAACATTTATCTGAGGGACTGGAGAACACACGTGTCAGGAGAACCCTTTTCTCCCTAGGCAAGGGGAATGTTGCCTCTGGAGTCCACTCCTACCTGTGCCCCTCAACTCACCAACCAGCCGCCCCCATCTGTCTCCATGTCACAGTAAACTTCTAGTGGCCGCTCACGGTTTCCATTGAGGAAGATGGTGGTCATACGGGAGTTACTTAGCCCATTTTGCTTCTCTTCTCCACAATCTCGAGGGAATGGGATCCTCAGTCCACCTAGGGTGGAAGGGGGCAGGGATTAAATAAGAGGCCGACCTAGCTAGGACTCAAGACTCAGGATCAGTCATGGGCTGCTCCATCCCCCAGGCTTACTTTTACCCCTTTCCCTCTATTTCCCCTTAGGGACCATTGTCAACCACCCCACCCCTTTGTCCCTTTAGTTCTTCTCTCAGTGTCTAGCCCCAGGTACCAGTGGTAAAGGCGGTGGGCACAGGTGGTGTGAGACTTTCCCCCCAGACAGCCTGGATCCGAGCATTATACAAAGTAGAAGGGAAGAGACCAGAGAGTTGGTGAGATATGACCCCTCCTGGTAGCAGAATCTCCTACAGCAGGGGGAGAGGGGGAGAAGGAAGAAGTCAGAAGAAGCAGAGACAGAGACAAAGGCAGGCAGAAACGAATGTGGACCTGAGAGTTTGGGTTGGGTACAGGGAGCTGCTGGGGGATACCTGAGTCTGCCCCCCAGGAGTGTCATAGCTAAGCAAGTAGCCACTAGGTGGCGACTCTGGTTCAGTCCAGGTGAGTAAGGCAGAACGAGGGGTGACCTCTTTGGCCTTCAAGTCACGTGGGGCATCCAGTCCTGGAAAGGAAGGCAAAGCTCATTCTTCTCTTGTTACTCCCATGAGATAAAGCAGTGTCTTTCTGTGGTCCCTCACAGACATATCACATTAGAGCCTTCTCCTCCCTCTCATCTCCCCGCTTCTGGTTCCCAGGCCTCGTGATACCAGTGGTGAAGGTGATGCTGGCAGGGGAGGTGATGTTAGGACCCCGGAAGCCTCTAAGGGTGGCAGTGTAGTTTTTCCGGAGCTGAAGATTATGCAGCGGGAAGTCTACAGCACTTCCTGGAACTGAGGCCATCACAGGTGGGACTAGAGAGGAGAAGAAGGAATTAGCTACTACTTCCCTTTGATCCCCAGCTCTCCTATCCCACACTCTCCAATCATCTCTTTCCCCCTCAGAGATCCAGGCATTCAAAACCTTAACTTCTCTGTATCTCACACTGCCTCTCTTCAACTCACCCTCTGGGGCTGTGACACGAAGGGCATATCTTTCCACAGGGGCCTGAGGGGGGCTCCAGTGCAGCAAGGCTGAATCATCAGTGACATTTAACGCTCGAAGCTGGGTGGGGCCGTCAGGGACTGTGGTGGAGTAAGATGGACAGAGCTCCAGAGCTGGTCTTTGTGCTCTGTCTCCTCTCCATCTCTATTGAGCCTATCTGTCAAGTCTCATCTTCCTCTTACCCTTACAGCTGTCTCCTCTCATCTTCCTCCCATCTCTGCCCATTTCCCTGATACTCCCCAGCTTGAACCTATTATCTTTCTCATTCTTTAATCTCTTCCTCTTTTTTTATCCATTCTACAATTTCCCTCATCTCCCATCCACCCACAGCCCTCCTATTTCCTTCATCGCCCTCTATATTACTCACTCTTTCCTCTCTATTCCTCTCTCCTATCCACCTTTCCCTTCTCTCTCCCCCGTGTCTGTCTCACCGGTTGTGAAGAAGCCAGTGAGGGGTTCACTTTCCTCAAAGCCACGAACAGATACCACAGTCACTTCATATCGGGTTCCAGGGGTCAGACCCACCAGGTGCTGGTGCCAGGTATGACTGTCCACTTGTACACTTTGTGGCTCTCCTGGAAATACAAGGGAAGGAGATAAGAGAAGCTCATTGGGAGCCCCCATAGGATTAGAGATGTGGGGAAGGCAACAGAAAATAAGGGAAAATAGGGGAGGGTGAGAAGGGTCCAGGGAGAGGTAGCAGAGGATGAAGGAAAATGAGGTGAAGCCAAGATGGAGTCAAGGTAGATAAGCTGGCAGGTTACCTCCATCTGCTAGCTGGTAGGATATTTTGAAACCATCCACTCGGTTCGGGGGTGGAGTCCAGCTGACCTTGGCTGAGTTCTCTCGGATCTCACTGAACTTGAGATCTCGGGGGCTCTCTAGCACTAAATCAGTAAGGAAAGCAGTTAAGACCCCATGCCTGGCACACAGTAGGCACTTAATATTTATTGGATAGGATTGGGACCCCTTTCCAGCTCAAGAAAGGGCAATTTTGCCAGAATCTTCTCTCTCATATCGTCCTCTCTTATTGGTTATTTCTTTCTATATGACTTATTTACCCTTCTTTTTTTCCCTCAAGGCCCTGGAAATGGAAATCGATAAAAAGCCCATTCCAAAGGCTCAAGACACACTCATTCACACCATCACACGTGTCTTTCTCTACTCATAATTACCATCCCTACCTTACTATTTGAGAGGAGAAGAAACTGGTTGCTCATCCCTGACAGAGTACCTTGTTATTCACCCACCACCTACCCATCTTCCTGACTAAGCCTCTTCCTCTTGGGGCTTACTACCTAGGTGAGAGTCCTAGAGCCTGAGCTAAAGTTAGGGGTAGAGCCCAGAGGCTGCGGGCCATGACAGGCAGTACCTGGACTGAGTGTCCTGGCAGTGCCCTGGAGGCTATCAGCCTTATGTGGGCCACGAAGGCCATAAAGCGTTACTGCATAGAGGGTTCCAGGCCTTAAG